AKAYAKRTCTTTTCGTTGGCTTTTCAATAGTAATTTATTTGAGCAATAAAAAAAAAAACATTCGCATACAAAATGTTTTCTTCTTCTTTACTGCACCTATACCTATAATACACATAACATTTTACATGTGAAAACGAGTTTCCTCTAAAGTGAAATATATTTTGGTACACAACAATAATATCATAGTAAACTCGAAAAGTCGAAACCCARTGCAAACATTGTATTATATTATATCGTATATAATATATGTTAAATATTTAGTCTTTTAAGATATACATATATATATAATATAGTTATTATGTTTACAAGGGCAAAGTAGGTTGTTCCATTTTGATRTCCTTATTACTATTATTCGCCTGTCGTCATATTTGTGTACGGGTATTTATTTTGTCTTTTCTATCATGTATTCAATCTTGGAATGTTTTTTTTTTATATGTATGAATCCAATTTCGGTCACTGTATGGTTGTGTGCGTCAAATAGAAGAGTAATAAATACAACAACGATGGTTCGTGAAAACTGCCTCCAGACGACCCCATCCTATCTGAGATGAATTTTTGACCAAACTGCTCCAAATGTATTTCTGACATCTAACCTGTTGATTTTTGGAGCCACCCTAACGAGTTGTCTTCTGAAATAAAGATAAAATAAATTCACTTATATATGTACTACCTATATATCAAAATTTCATATACAGTACTTAATATAATTCGATTGATCCCCCGTTTCGAACGCCAGCAAAACGCACTAAGTCCTTTTTTTTACTTTATTATTAGAATATTTAATCGTTGGTGTTTAATATTACTTCAAACAAAAAAAACAAATTTATTTTTAAAAACAATAATAATAATACTCGTTATTCGTATATAATGTATTATATTTTCTAGTCATTTAATCAATGTCGGCATTGTGTTTTGTGATCATGGTCATAAAGCATTAATTTTTTGAAAAAAATTACTGTTACCATATTTAGAAAATGACTTGTCGACTTATAAATTAATAATTCCGAGTACTACAAATCATATAAGTATTATAAAATATTATAATTTATAGTCAAACAGTGACTGGGAATATTATTTTAAGTATGCATTATAGGTACTATGGTATACACCAACTGAATTCCCTTAACCGCAGTATGGCGTACTTGTATAACTATGAGGTACCAAATAACAAATTTGTGTAATTTTGTAAAGTTATAAATACAACTCTTAAAAATAAATTGTCATCTCTATTTCTGTGTACGTTTTTCGTAATATAATAAAAACTATTGCTTTTGTCATTTTTAAATAATAGGTATATATACCATCCACGAGGCAATTCACTATACAGTATACGTCATGGTCGCTCCCATTGTACCTTTCAATAAATTCTATTATATTTACTCAAACTCTGTTTGGAATTATTTTGTATACTCAAGGTCTGTGTTTTAAAATACCTAGATTTTGTATACTACTTAAAGGGAGACCATGTACGATAGAAAATAATTTTTCCAAATGAGAACCAACCTTATTTACTATGACTGAAAAATAGGTTTATGACAATAATAAAACACAGAATTCATACTTTA